CCCGCCACCTTAGGTGTACGTGGCTGGCGCCTTAGCTGGTTGAGCTATAGGCGCCGAGCCTGACCTGCAGTTTTCTTTTTTTGTTTGGTTATTTCTTGATTTGGGTTTCATATTAATATTGGCTTTGTGGAATAATTTGAGGAAGATTGCCTTCATCTTAGTGTTATGGAACAGTTTCAGTAGGATAGGTACCTGTTCTTTTTTGTAGGAATGTTAGAATTTGGCCATAATTTTGTCTGGTATTAGGATTTTTGTGGTGTTGCCAGAAAGTTTTTTTTTTGTTGTTGAGACAGCATCTCACTATGTCACCCTCCGTAGAGTGGCATGGCGTCAAAGATCATGGCAACTTCAAACTCTTGGGCTTAAGCGATTCTCTTGCCTCAGCCTCTTGAGTAGTGCTAGAAAGATTTTTATTGTGTATTCTCGCTACTTGATATTGGTTTGTTCAGGGAATCTATTTCTTTCTGATTCAAGGTTGTGTGGTTGCATGTTTCCAAAAACATATCCATTTTCTCCAGATTTTCTAGTTTGTGTGCATAGAAGTGTTTGTAATAGTCTCATGACTATTTTCAAGTGTATTGTTTAGTGTGGAATGTATACTCACAATGCTGTGCAATGAATCCTCACAATTCTTTTTTTTTGAGACAGAGTCTCACTCAGTCACCCTGGGATCGAGTGCCATGGCATCATAGCTCACAGCAATCTCAAACTCTTGGGCTCAAGTAATTCACTTGCCTCAGCCTCCCAAGTAGCTTGGACTACAGGCACCTGCCACAACACCCGGCTATTTTTAGAGACCGGGTCTTGCTCTGGCTCAGGCTAGTCTAGAACTCCTGAGTTCAAGCAATTGAACTGCCTTGGCTGCCTTGGCTTCCCAGGGTGCTGGGACTACAGGCATGAGGCACTTTGCCCAGCCTTTCACAATTCTTCACTTTGCAAAACTGAAACTCCTTACCCATTTCCCCTTCACTGGGTTCTTGGCAACTACCCTTCTACTTTCTGTCTCTATAAATTAGACCACTTGAGGTACCTAATATGAGTGAATTATACAGTATTTGTTTTTTTGTGACTGGCTTATTTTACTTAGCATGTCCTCAAGGTTTATCTATGTTGTATTATGTGTCAGGATTTCTCTCTTTTAAGGGCTGCATAATATTCCACTGTCTGTCTATACTCATTTAATTTATTCATTCTTCTATCTGTGGATACTTGAATTGTTTCTACCTTTGGCTACTGTGAATAATGCTGCTATGGCCATAGGTGTGCCAATATTCTTTGAGACTCTGCTTTCAATTCTTTTGGATATATATATGCAGAAGTCTGTGACTTATTTTTATTTATTTTTTTTTGAGACAGAGTTTCAAGCTGTTGCCCTGGGTAGAGTGCGTGGTGTCACAGCTCACAGCAACCTCAAACTCTTGGGCTTAAGTGATTCTCTTGCCTCAGCCTCCCAAGTAGCTGGGACTACAGGTACCCACCACAATGCCCAGCTATTTTTGTTGTTGTTGCAGTTGTCATTGTCATTTCAGCAGGCCCAGGCTGGGTTTGAAGCTGCCAGCCTCTGTGTATGTGGCTGGTGCCCTACCCACTGAGTAAGGGTGCTGCCCTATTTATTTTTAAATACAACTAAAAAGAGAAATTGAAATTAAGTTCTTACCATAGCCTTCCTTTCCATATGCAAATGAGGGGGGTATAATCACTTTCCTCTTTTCTCCAGGGCACATATCCATCATAGCAATGTCTAGGCCTTTTATGACTTGTCCAACACCAAGAACAAACCATTTGGGGTGGCCTTCATTTTGTGTCCGGCTATAAAAAAAAAAATACTTAGTTAAGCTAATTTTAAGAAATCAAACTTTAAAATATAGCTGGGCATTTAAAATTGGAGTCCTCTGGCTTAGAGCCTGTACCTCACTGGTATACTCAGTGGCCAAGTACACCTGGGCTGGCAGGTACGCACCCTGCCCAGGCCTGCTAAACAACAATGACAACAACAACAAAAAAATAGCTGGGCGTTGTGGTGGGCATCTATAGTCCCAGCTACTTGGGCAGCTGAGGCAAGACAATTGCTTAAGCCCAAGAGTTTGAGGTTGCCGTGAGCTGTGACCCCACAGAACTCTACTGAGAGCAACATAGCGAGACTTTGTCTCAAAAAAAAAAAAAAAATTGGAGTCCTCTGTAGCATCTTTTCTTTCCTCATATTGGCAATTTTCTAACCCCCTTGATGGGGTATTTGGTTTAAACTTTGCTGTAATTGCCATAAAAAAGTATGATTTGCCCAAAGCTAGTCATTAGGAGTCATCTCATTTTCTTTTTTACTGTTGTTTTCAACAGCTACCTTTTTAATGGGTCTCCAGCCCCTAACCAGCTGGATGGCTTGTACAAATAACTCAGTTAACTTCCCTGGGTTTGTTCTAAAAAATGATGGAGCAGGTTTAGCCTCCAAAGGTCATTTTTACAGTTATTTAAATATTTCTTGTTAAATTTCTCTATTTTATTCTAAGTGGGAAGAGCAAACATTTCCCAATCGTATCTTTATATGTAATAATACACACTAAGATAAAAAATCCTACTTCTGAGCAGTAACCATGAATTTAACAGCCAGCCAGCGGGATGAGGGGAGCATAAAGGAGGAGCAGGGCCCAGCATAAGTCACAAAGGAAGTCTCTGCTGTACTGCTGTCTTGATACAGTTAGGAAAAGGCTCCCAGCTTGTAAAAATTGTGCCAAAATAAAGTCTCTTTAATTATCCTATGTAGTCTTCTGTAAAGACTCCAACTCTTGGCAAAAAAAAAAAAAAAAAAAATCCTTACAGGTAGTACCTTGATTTAATTCTTGAAATCCTAGGGATAGTGGTGGTGCTCAGAGATGTGTGGATGTAGTGTATTTTTGATAATCTCTGGGGTCAACATTTTCAAAAAAGTTAAAAATATTTAGTTTATTAGAGAACTACTACCATACAATCTGATTTTTCTCCCCATGAATAAAAGACCCCACTCTTACTGTTTAAAAAACACAAAACCCCAAACAACAAACAAGACGACCAATTAATTAGGCTTCTGGTTGGTAGGAAGGGGGGAGACCTTGGGCATCCACCAAACGCGGAAGTAGTTCACAGCATTTCCTACCTGCAGTAAAATTTCGAGCCGTCTTTAGCCAAGTAGCCATCGTAATGGGCGTTTAGTAGGTCTCCCTTTTTGCTTGTCTTAGAGCAGTTTTCTGGCCGATGCAAAACTTCTATTTTTACTTCTTCTGTATTCTCCTCTTTCTTTTGTCCCTGAGTCATAAAAAAGCCCCACAGGTAAAAGAAAATGACTAATCTAAATAACAAATTCATGGTTACTCCCAATAGAACTACAAGATTCCTCGGGCGCGTGCTCGCTAGCTCCCCGCGGCTGCCCCAGCGGCCGAGTTCAGACGCGTGGCAGGCATTGTCTTACGTCACAAAGGGCCGGGCGGGGCTGTTCACGCGGCTCCGCCCCTCCGCCGGCCGCAAACGCTGCCCTGCGTGTTGGGGTCTGTGGCCCGGCGTAGGTCCCTCTGGTGTCTGGCACTGGTGTTGCTGCTCTCGGTCGCGAAGGTAGCCCCGCACGCTCGAACCGCTATTCCTCGCTAAACCCGCTATTTTACAGCCGCTTTCTTTAGCCTTGCGTACTAACGCTCGAGTTTCCAAAAACAATACTGACAAAGAACGAGACAAACTGTGATTGGGATAAGTCAGAATATGGTTGTCATTTATGGGTGAAAAAGCCTTTTCTTTAGGCTTCTAGGGAGGGGGATATTGGGAGTGGAGGCATTCTGGAAGAAGAGGGTGAAAATAGCCTTCTTTCTGGGTGTCTGGCGTGTCCTTGAAGCTCATTCTCAGCGTCGGAGTCATGCATCAAGGTTGAGTCACGCACAACCAAAGTGGGCTGGACTCAAAGGAACCGCTGCACTGGGGCTTCTGCGCAGCGTGACAGGAATTTGCACGCACCGACCTCAGCGACTCCGGAGCTGCCCCAGCTTGTGTTTCCTTCTCTCCTGGCTCGGGCCTCCTTTGGCTTTAAGGCCTCTAGCCGAGCAGGAAAGCTTTTGACTTCTTACCAGCCTTGTGAGATCTGTAGTTGTGCACATCAGACAAGGAAACTCGAGTATTGGGCATTTATTCTCAAGTATTACAGCTAATACCAACCGAGATTTAGCCAACTCTGACACACCTCCTCACCATTTTACTATGAAAACTTAAAAAACAGAAAAGTTGAATTTTACAGTGAATACTCAAATGCCCACGTCTAGATTTTATTGACATTGAACTATATCTGATTCATTACATCCATCCATCTCTCTATTCTTCTATCTTACCTTATTTCCAAGTGAATACCCAAAGTCTACCCCGGACGGAAGACCTGCGTAGGCCTGCGTCCCCCAAATTAGGTTCTAGGAGGAGAGATGTTATTCTACCTCAGTGAAAAGGAGCACTGGGCCTGCTTAATATGCTTTGCTTAAAGTTTGCAAAATTTCATTAATCTGAAAATTACTGTCAATTATGTGAGTTGAAGATCACTTCCAAGGGGGATTTTCAAAAACCACAGAGGCTTGGGGAAAGCCCCCATTTTTCTGACCAAAATGTCGAAGTTTAGTTCCCTGTTTTACTAACAAAATTGTTGCTATCCAAGGTTAATCATTGGCTTGAGAACGATTCCTTAGGGCTCCTCTCTTCTTGTGGGAGGATCCCGTGAACTGCACACTGTCTTCCTACGCGATAATTCCTAAGATCCTCTGAATATGAGAAGAATATGAAGCAAACAGAAATAGGAAGGATTTATTATCATTATTATTTTGAAGAAAAAAACAATCACCCAAAGGACTTGAGGAGTAGAAAATCCGAGGTGCCTAAATCGCCGCCCGCAGGACTAGTGCGCGGGGAGCTAGTGCTCGGGTGGGCCTGGCAACCGCGCGCGCAGCGGGGCTCCAAGGCCTCGGCCCGAAGAGGGAGAAGGAGGAGGAGGAGGAAGGCAGTCCCAGCCCGGGTCCGAGGGCGAGCAGCGCCCGCTCGCTTTCCTCGCGCAGCCTCCCGCACCGCTGCGGGGCCGCAGGCCGCGCCCGCTCCTCCAGCCCCGCCGCCGGGGAGGGGTTTCCCGAGACGATCCGGCCCCTTTCATCCAGGAAGTGAAAGCGACGTCGGGGTCAATGAAAACAAACGGGGAGCCCGGGGGGAAGGAAGGCAGGCGGGGAGGAGGAAGCGCCGGGCGTGGGAGGGAGCAGCCGGGCCGCGGAAGCGCGAGCGGAGAGGCCGGCGGCGGGCGCGTTTCTGCCGCTGCAGCGGGAGCGGCCGCCGAGGCTCACCCGGGGATGTCTGAGCCCGCGCCTCGCGGCCCCCGAGCTCCACGCGGCGCCCGCCGTCTCAGCCTCTAAGGGCCGCCACGTCCCGGCGGCGCGCGCGGGCTGAGGGCGGCGTCGTGCCGGCTGGGGGCGCCCGGGGACGGGGCTCGGACGGACCGCGAGGGGCTGCCCCAGGCTCCGCGCCTACCCAGCAGCGCGGCCGCGCCGGGCCAGGAGGATGCGCGGTGCGGGGCTGTGAAGCATGGAGGGGGTTCTGTACAAGTGGACCAACTATCTCACAGGTACGGGGGCTCGGGTGCTTCTGGGGACAGAGGGGAGAGGCACAGGGCTTGGGCGGGATTAGGCGGGGAGGCTTCAGAGAAGGCTCCCGCTCCCTTTTGGTGGCCCGCAGTGACCCTCTTAGCGAATTGGCTCTTCTTTCTTTGCCAGGGCTTAATCCCTGTCTCTGCCCCGGTAGAGCTTATCTGGCTCTTGCAAGGGAGGGTTCGAGACTGCGCACCTTCCCGAAGGTGGGAAGTGCGACCGACACTTGTTTACTCGGGTAATGGTACTTCTCTTTGCCGCCTATATATCGTCTGGAACAATTCCCAGCGTACCTACGTGTGTTTGTTGCACTCTCCATCCTTATTCACACTTAATATTAAGCATTTTGTTAATAATTGAGTTGCTGGAGTATTGGACGGGAATAGATCCTTTAAGATCAAGACTTAATTTTAAGAAATCTTTTCTGTATTTAATTTCCTTAGCACTTTATTTTAAAAAGTTCTCTTGCTGAAGTTCTTGGTTGGCAAGTATAATTTTAGAAGCTGTCTCCAGATAACGTTCTTTTAGCGATTATCAATGAAGTGTCTGTACAGTTCAGAATTCATCTAACTGAGAAATAGTGGAAGAAATGTAATACAGAGAAGGGAAAGCAGGCAAGGCAATTTCACCCTTGAAGTGGGTTGGAAAGAACTTCAAAAAGTTAGTTGTTTCTGCAGAAATGAGAGACCTGCGGGGAAGAGCCCCTTTCCATGGCTGTCAACGCCTTATCCTTAAATCTGTGTTAAATCAACCAACAGTAAAGGCAGTCATTTATTCTTTCAAGATCTCAGTCTCCTAAGGCTAGGTGATCAACTATTTTATTGTGGAGGTACCTTTCAACTCCAGAATTCTATGCTCTCACCATGTTAGAGTAATAATAATGGGTTTGAAATAAATTTGAATAGTAAACAGATTTTTTGGTCCACCACTTAGGCAAAATCTTGCCTTAAACACGTATTCACTGTGCTCAAAGTTTTGAACCTCTTAGTATATCGTGTGGTACACTCAACTTAGGTCCACCAGACCTTGTGCAAAATCTACACATAAATACTTTAAGGTATAAGTGCTGACCTATGCTTGCCCCTTGTTTTTGATTAATTAGATTGCTAAAGCCAGATTTATAGCAGCAAATGCTTTAATGTTTATGATATGCTAATGTTTTATTCCAACTAAAAAAAGACAAATATTTTTTATTAAGCATTTTCATATGGAAATGGTTGTGGCAGCACCATTTTACTCTTTGTTTGAGGGAAAGTGCTAAAGTTGTAGCTTTTTCCTCTCAGCACAGTTCATAAGCACAGTGTACTGGGAGGTCATGCCTGAGAAACCATTTATGCACACCCCAAAGCAATGGGCGATTATTGAAATGAGTCATAATTTAATACTTGAGGCAAAATTTGGCCTCCGTGATTTCCTCATCTCCTAAGGTACTGAGTACCAGCTGTTGAGCTTTTAACCACAGTGTACTTTAGATTTTAATCTTTGCAGTGCATGTAGTTAACATCTAGTCTGCATCATAGAAGTTTGCGGAAATGAAATCCTGTGTTTGGAAGAACTCTCTTTTTAAAATTTACATATGGCCTGAAGGCATGCCGATTATTAATTTTAGTTCATCTCAGGTCATAAGGATGAACGCTGTTCATACTAAGTGATCTTTAAGGACCCTTACAATAAATTATAGTGTTATTTGAGAATATTTTGTAGAGAATAAGGATTTTAGTAACAGCTAGTAATTTGAGATAAAAATAATGTACTTTTAAAAAAAATACCCATGAATCTTTTTCACAGGTACAGCCCTCTCTTATATAAATGTGTGAATCAATTAGAGATTGTTTCATTAAATATTTCTTCAACAAGGTGCGCAAGAGATAATTAATAGGCTTGATTAGATTAATGCATTCTGCCACACTTACCTTTCACGTTGCTATAAATTACTATGCTTATTATTTGTTTTAAAGAGATATTGAATTGCAGCTATATGGCTTTCAAAATCATAATTTGTTCTGTAGGCACACTTGACCTTGGGTAGAGTAGTTGATTTTTACCCTACCCTGTTTATAATTGTTTGCCAAGGTAAATTAGTGTTTGGAAAGATACTTGCACAAACATGCTGCACGTGTATACTGCCATGGATAATGAGTAATATCTCCCTTTTTGGTATTCATTTGTTTACTTATTATTATTTGAGAAATTGCTTTTTTTTGGCATCTGTTGTGTGCCAGGCACCAGTCTAGTTGCTGGGAATACAGTGCTCAACAAGGTAGATGAAATCCATATACCAAAAGAACCTCTAGGTGTGTGTGTGTTTGTTTTTTGCCAGGTCTTAATTAGGGGAGATTACAGTGTTTCATAAAAGTGAATTTTCCAGGAATATGAAACTTGCTTGTTTTATTTAAATTAGTTTGGACAAGTACCTTTCTAAACTGTATTATGACATTCTCTGCCTTCTTAAAGTATGCAAGTAAAATTTAACTTTTTTATCATGACTCAATGTTCAGGTAAAGCAGTGGTTCTCAACCTTCCTAATGCCATGGCCCTTTAATACAGTCCCTGTGGGTTGTGACCCACAGATTGAGAACCGATGAGGTAAAGTCTTTTGGAAAGGTAAGTCCTACATCTGTGATCAGAGTATAATGAGAACACACCTATCTACCTTGTCTTGATACTATTTGGCCCTGGAAAAACCAGATTAATCATATAGCAGGCTATGGCTGAAGTGACCAGGATTTGAATACCTACATTTTAAAAGTGGATACATTTTAGCTTGGTACACTTGTGTTGAGTCATGATTTAATTAGTGGTGGAAAGAACAAGGACAGTCACCCTGCTTCCAGCATGGTCATCATATTATTAGTCAGCGAACTATTGTGAACTATAGCATGTTTCAGAGAACACCAAATTTGGCTTGTGTGAGAAGTGGGAGTTGGGTACTGAGGAAAGCCACCATCCCTGTTACCAGCTTTGCCTTGGATCAAGTCTGATAGTCACAAAGAAACTATCAATTAAATGAATAACTGCAGTTTCTATCTTTTCTGCCCTAGGGGGCAGCTGCAGAGAAGGGAAATGGTGGTGGAGGGTGGCATAGGGAATCTGTTCTCTTACCATAGGGTATGTGGCTTCTGTCTAAAAGATGCATTCATTTAGCACTTACTATGTTCAAGGGAGTTTGCTTAGATCTGTATTTTCTAGGAGGAGAAAGGTCACACTGCAGAATTTAGAGGACTAGGTGAAACCTGAGAGGTCATCTTGTTGAACCTTTTCATTTTGGAGATAGGGAATTTTAGACATTCACTGACCTGAAAAGATTTTCCCCAGGTTATGGTTATCCAATTAAAGAATGATAATAAAGGTGGAGCCAGTTCCTCTTTTCTGTTGCTTTTTCCATTACTTTCATAACACCAACTCTGTTCCTTTTTCAGAAAAGAGGATAGTTCTGTACAGAGTCTTGTATAGGACTATTACTAAGGATGGGCCCTATGGATTTTTTTTTTTTTTTGAGACAGAGCCTCAAGCTGAGCCCCTGGGTAGAGTGCCCTGGCTTCACTGCTCACAGCAACCTCCAACTCCTGAGCTCAAGCGAGTCTCCTGCCTCACCCTCCCAAGTAGCTGGGATTACAGGTGCCTGCCACAACGCCTGGCTATTTTTTGGTTGTAGCCATTATTGTTGTTTGGCGGGCCCGGGCTGGATTCGAACCTGCCACCTTAGGTGTATGTGGCTGGCGCCTTAGCCGCTTGAGCCACAGGCGCTGAGCCGCCCTATGGATTATTAATAAGAAGGTTGTGAGCACCAGTACTGGGGCTGGCAGTTTTGAACCCCAGTCTTCTAAACAGACAAACAAACAAAACAAAAAAAAGGTTGTGAGCCAGAAGAACAGTATTACTTCCTGTGTTTATGTTAATCTAGAGGTTTGTCCAGAAATCTCTCCCAACAAAGTAGAGATTAATGCAAAAACATTTTGAGTAAGTCTTGGCCATTAAAAATTTCATTGTTGAAATATTATTTGAGAGCCAAGAAATAATGTGATAGCAGGTTTTGAAATAAGATTTGTTTTTTTTTTTTTGTTTGAGACAGAGTCTCACTCTGTCACCCTGGGTAGCATATACTGGCATCATAGTTCATAGCGACCTTAAATTCCTGGGCTCAGTTGATCCTTTTGCCTTAGCCTCCTGAGTAGCTGGGACTACAGGTACCTGCCACAATGCTTGGCTGTTTTTTTTTGTAATTTTAATAGAGATGGGGTCTCGTTTTTTGCTTAGGCTGGTCTTGAAATGCTGAGCTCAGATGATCCACCTGCCTTGGCCTCCCAGAGCTTTAGGATTACAGGCATGAGCCACTGCCCTCTGACTGAAATCACAGTTTTCTTTGTGATAAAAATAATTTCTTTCTGTATTAACCTTTTGTTGTTTATGATCTTTGTAGGTTGGCAGCCTCGTTGGTTTGTTTTAGATAATGGAATCCTATCCTACTATGATTCACAGGATGATGTTTGCAAAGGGAGCAAAGGAAGTATAAAGATGGCAGTTTGTGAAATTAAAGGTGAGTCCATATATAGGATTCCAGGAATTTGAGGTCGTGGTAGTAAGGGGTTCCCCACCATACTCAGAACAAGAGAAAAACAGCATTTCTAACCACTTAGGGATTCTCTAATGCCATTTATATTCTCAGCAATTGGGAATGGCATTTAACATTGTTAAACATTGTTTTTGATATTTGGGCCTCTATAAATACACTTTGAATTGAAATGCACAATACTTGTGCTGGTCTTCCAATTTGGATTTGACAAACAATTTCTTTCTTTGCTTTTTTTTTTTTTTTTTGACAAACAATTTCTTTTTTTTTTTTTTGAGACGGAGCCTCAAGCTATCACCCTGGGTAGAGTGCCATGGCATCACGCTCACAGCAACCTCCAACTCTTGGGCTCAAGCGAGTCTCCTGCCTCACCCTCCCAAGTAGCTGGGACTGCAGGCGCCTGCCACAATGCCTGGCCATTTTTTGGTTGCAGCCATTATTGTTGTTTGGCGGGCCCGGGCTGGGGATTCGTACCCGCCACCTTAGGTGTATGTGGCTGGCGCCTTAGCCGCTTGAGCCACAGGCACTGAGCCGACAAACAATTTCTTATGGATACTTTAGTGTCTGCATTGAGTCTATAAGCCTTCTGTTTCATTGTACAAAGTTATAGTAAAAGTAGTAAGCTGAGCTATAGAGATGATGGGGATAGCTCTGTAGGGTTTTGTTAAAATACGAAGTCAGAGTCATAAATTGGTTTTTTACTGAATTTGGAGATAAGCTTCTCTGGGTGATAGAGGTTGTTTCCTTTACTTCTAAAAGGGGAGCAATAAAATAATAGGTTATGCTGTAATTTTCATGAAGGAAGATTTCTTAGACCATTGATTCATTTGTATGTGTGGTTGGGTGTGTGGGGTGGAGGTAGGTAGAGTAAAATCAGATAAAATGGTAATTATTTCTATGGAATTCTTCTTCAAAGACAACTGAAAGAAAAACCCTTAAACTCCCTGTCGGCCTTTCTCACTGCTCCTTCGTAGCTTGAATATTTGTGAAGGGTAGTTTCTTTGACATGGTGAGCTATTGGTCAGAGCTACCAAATGCTCCAGAATTATCTTACTGCTCTATGCATTTTCTTACTTAAGTTATACCAAAGCAGCAGCTAATGTGTTGTGTGCTCATTTTCCAGGGCTGCATTGCTCCTTTTGTGTGATTTTGTGGTAGTTTTTAGTAGGATTTAGCCTTGTAGACAAAGGAGAATTTCTGCTTTGGGTGCTGATCCTTTAGCTGTATGTCTGCTGCTGCTTTTTTTTTTTTTTTTGGCAGTTTTTTTTGGCCCGGGGTCGGGTTTGAACCCACCACCTCTGGTATATGGGTCTGATGCCCTACTCCTTTGAGCCATAGGTGCCACCCTGTCTGCTTCTTGACTTTCACCTCAGGTCTGCCATCATTAGGTCTCTAACAGTAACAGTAATTCTCTACTTAGAGCAGATCAGTGTCATCCAGGTAGCCTTCTACACCCTTCAGGTGCCTGCCAGGTGATTGTATCCTGCCTTCTTTAGCTAAGAATTACTGCTGGTCTATTAGAAGGGAGTCCTGCCTATATGAGAAAAAGAAACACAGTAGCCTGGTACATATATGTTATTTCATCTTCTTTAAAATACATGGAACATAATTGTTTTTTATTTTTAATAAGTATACTGAAATGTGTACCAATATCTGTTGGCTTTCAGTGGACTCAATTTTTTGATTTATGTGCCCACTTTCTTTTTTTTTTTTTTTTTTAGAGACAGAGTCTCACTTTGTCACCCTCAGTAGAGTGCCATGGTGTCACAGCTCACAGCAACCTCCAGCTCTTGGGCTTAGGTGATTCTCTTACCTTAGCCTCCTGAGTAGATGGGACTACAGTCACGTGCCACAACGCCCGGCTATTTTTTGTTGCAGTTTGGCTGGGGCTGGGTTCGAACCTGCCACCCTCAGTATATGGGGTTGGCGCCCTACTCACTGAGCCACAGGTGCCACCCATATGTGCTCACTGTCAGTGACACCGTCATTACCAGTGTTTCAGAACTCTTTTTGGGATTGTCTTATGAACCAGTTTATAAATCACACAAGCAAAGCACATT